GCAAGCCTAAGCAAAATTAGGGTCCATTCCCTCTCCCCACCGATGCAGTACTAGAGATTGAATCCAGGGCCTTATGCATGCTAGGAAAGCACTCTACCACTGAGCCACATTCCCAGGCCCCAAGAGGTCACTGTTTTCAATGATTATATTTTCAGAAGACTAAGTAATTGCTGACTGAGAAGTAATTGTCCAGGGATTTAGGACACAGGAATCTTTAAGGGAGGTTGTTATTTTACCTACCACAAACACATATTGGTATAATAATGAATAATCACAACCATGAACCAAAAATCATGGCTCCCAATCATCTGTTCTCAGAGGGAAAAAAAGAAGTTGGATAATTCATATACTATCAAATAAGTATTACTTTCACATTGAGCATAGTAACACTTATGTATAATCCAGTGTTCAAGAGGCTGAGGAAGGAGGATTGTATGTTTGAGACAAACATCAGCAATTCAGGAAAACCTTCAGCAACTTAGCCAGACCGTCTTAAAATAAAAATACAAATGTAGTGGGCATGTAGCTCATTGGAAAAGCATCCCAGGGTTCAATCCCCCACTACTCCCCCAACCAAAAAAAGGACTTGGGATATTCTCAGTAAAGGACCTGTAGGTTCAATTCTCCGTATGAAAAAAAAAATTACTGTTGCTATCAAATCCCTACTTTAGGGGCTATCTTATTTCCTCAATTCTTATGTCTATTACTGCCCCCCCCCAAAAGTCTTTTGTATCCTGAGGAGGGGTTTCCTAGGATATAGGACTTTGCTAAAATTGGGGAAATCCTGGCAAAGAGGGAGAGCTGGTCACCATTCCAACATCAGAGAGTAACAGAGGTGCACACATAGTCTGGGATGCACTGGAAAACAGGCAGAAATCTATGAAGCAATGAAGAGAGGCCTCATAAGAAAACAGCCCTGTTCTTATACTTCCAGCATCCAGAACTGTGAGGAAATAAATTTCTGTTGTTTTATTTACCTTGGTCATCATGGCCATAGCAGATTAATATCTAAGAACAAAAAAGACAATCACCTTTTGTTCCCTATTTAACCTGGGCTCAAAAAGTGACTACTAACAGGATGTTTTTCAAAAACAATAAAAATTGATTGACAATACAAAGATGTCCTCCACAGTCTTCTTTATAAAAATGATCAAACATTAAGTTTTTATATGACTGAGGTTGTGGCTCAGTAGTAGAGCACTTGCCTAGCATATGTGAAGCACTGGGTTTGATCCTCAGCAACACATAAAGATAAATAAATAAATAAAGGTATTGTATCCCTCTACAACTAAAAGAAATTTTTTTAAAGATTCATTTTTAACAACCTAAAATATTATACTACACCT